CTTCCGCGCTACGCAGCTCGCTCTTACAAATAACTTTTGCTACGCCTGCCCTTATCTGACGAACAAAAACATGTTACCTCCGTCAGGCCGCCTCACGAAGCGCCATCACGTCCAACTTCTCGAGGGACCCTCATTCAACAACTGCAACTTCCGCTTTTTAGAAGGCAATTTACCGGACGGTTAGTTAATGCGGAGCAGTAGGTACGTAGGTGCGCGTAGTAGTGGTTGGTACCACGGAAACTTTAGTGTATGATGTCACGAACGATCGTGCGATACGAGCGACACGGATTACAATTTTTCGCACGAGCGCGATGGCGACGGCGTTTATAGGAAGATTACGTGTAATCATCGAACACTTAATTACGGCGCGAGAACCATCCGAACGAACCAATGCCCGCGTTTCGTCCGTAACAGCCGACTCTCGGCGATGACTAAGCGAGACTAATTCACACCTTGGCAGAGAAGCAGAAAACAGGAAAGTGGAAACCAATCAGAACAACGCGCTGGTAGAAAAACAGGGACTGTCGACTATCACATGACAACTAGCGTGTGTTCTGATCGGCTCCTGTCTTTCTGCTCTTCTGCCAAGGTGTGAATTCTCCCTGAGAAAGATAAGCTTGTTCAGTTTAAATTCGAGCCACTGAGAGACCCAGCTGACAGTACCGAGTTAATTTTTTTTCTTTTGCGTGCACGAAACGCACGAGAGACGAGCGTGAAAACACCATCGCATTCCACGGCATGTTTCCACGAGGACGAGCGCGACGAGGCGGGTTGCGCGGCGGGATACGAAAAATAATACCCGCCTGATCTTCACCCCTTTCTACATTCGCTCGCAGGTACGACCTCTTCTCTTTCTCCCCTCCCTCTTTCCCTCTGTCTTTTTCTCTCCCTCTGAACCGCGTAGCGTTGCCCATAAGAGCGACTCGTTTCACCCGTTAAACTCAAGGGTTGACACGCTACGCTTGCTTGCTCATTATTACGCGCCGCGCGGCGTGCTCTCGCACGAGCACGGTGATTTATGTTCGAAATAAGTCCGCCGGTTGAGACGGTGGTGTGCGAATATCGGTGACACCGTTCGAACATACACAATTCGGCCGATGATGAATTGACTGATTGTCGAGCGTGAACATGATCGGCGGGTGGCGCGTTACTCCGGACACGAGTCAGAGGTTCCGAAGGATAGGCTGAGAAAAAAGTGTTTGGTATAATCTCACATAGCACAAGATTTAAAAAATGTCCCAAAGACATTTAGAGGATTGCTAATTGTCCGCATAAGTCTTGAGAATATCCTAAAAATATTCCGAGGACTTCTAAATGTTCACACAAGTCCCTAAGATATCCCTTTAAGATCTTATGTTATGAGGGATTGTGACTGGAATTCCATAGTGAGACAATTATAGACATATCCATTTTGTAGTAAGCTGCACGGAGAGAATCTTAAAGTAAAAATGACTATAGAATTTCTTAACTGAGGAATAGATCGATATTTTGCAATAATTTGCTACCATTTCTTTCGTTATATTCGTTTCATGTGTACTATGTGTGTTTACATTTACAGGAATCTTAAAAGATTCGCTACGTTCTTGGCGAAATTTACTATGTAACTCTGCAAGGTAAATCTTACTGACAATTTATTCTCGCACTACTAGAAATACAAACAATATAAAAATTGATAAAAGTAAGAAGTTAGTAAAAAATTTATAAAAAAAATATTATATTCTCTGTTCCTTAGCAAAATAAACTCTACTGACAATCCATCTCTGCACCGTTAGAAACATACAGTAAAATTGAAAAGAATTTATGTGAAGAAAAATATGATAATATATTCTCTCCGTGTACTATACTTTACAGCTTTATATATATATTCTGCTACTTATTTTTTATTAGAATAACAAGATATATTGTCGGCGTCAAGGATGACTATAAATTTAGCGAGATTAATTGTGTTTTACTCTCAGTGTCAGTCTGCAAACTGTGACTGAGCAATTCGGAAAGATTTGCCGGCGTTTTGGAAAACATCGCGTCGCGCTTGTTCCAATATCGAAATATCGAAATAAACGGCGACAAAAGGCCCGAGTGATCCTCGTCCGTATCGATAAGGGACGATAGTTGAAAAATCTCCGGGCGATTTGGACACAATCCCGACGCGGTGGCGTCCTCGGTCAGCGACATCTCCGGATTAGCGTGGCGGAACGATATCCCGATACGATAGACACGGGCGAGGACCTCGTCCTCGGTCGCGCTTCGCTGTTTTGTTGGAATGCAGCCCAAAGTTTCTGCGAGTCGCGGAACGCGGTGGTTCCCCCCTTCTTTTCGGCGTCGCGACGCCGGGGAATCGGCATTGTGCGCGTCCCGGGCTACCAAAGAGTGCAGCAGCACGGAATGACGGGTTCTTTGATCCTCCCTCGCGAGGAAGCTACACGCCGTCTAACGGGATTACCCCGCCCCGAGTAATTGCTCGTGAATGCACAGATATACGCGCGACAATGGGTCGTGCACATCGATTCGAGGTGACGCGACGAATCACCGCACGCAGGGGTATGCGTAGGGTGGATCTGTAAAAACAATGTTTAAGGGAAAATTCTCCTCGCGCTCGACTCCTCTTGACAACGAAACAATCTCGAGAAAGAAATCGTCTAATCTCGCGGCTATCCAGCTGCTTCCCGAATCCTTTTGGCGCGATTTTTTAATAATATCCATTTCAAATAAGACTTAATTGTGTGTAATAAGTAATTTCAAATTTCTCAGATATAATAAAACAATCATATTTTTATATGATTAAATTTTACATTATTTTATGAGACATAATGTATATCAAGCTTTAATCCGTCATTATCTTCTACTATCTTTTGCATACAGTATTTCATAAAATTGTTACTACATAAAAATATAATCGTTTTATTTTACTTCTGAAAAATCTGAAATCACTCATTATATAATTCACTTATATCGTGTGCGTATTCTCTAAATTATTTTCCAAGTAAAGTTTTATTCAGAAAATGGAGTGACAGTCGAATCTTCTTCTTCTATTTCTTATTAAAATGGCTGACGGATTCCTTTGGATGCAGAGGTTACTTACGCCACGACAAGGCACTATCCTCTTACGAATGACAGCCGAGTTGCTCGAAGCCGAGTGATTTTTCACTTATATAGAGCGAATTCTTTCAGTGAATCGTCGAGTGAATATTCTTATTCGACATCGAAGGGCAACAAATCTCTCATTGAAACAAATTCACCCTAATCGGTGGAAACATCCACTCGTGCGAATTAAGTTTGAATTAAACATTTACTTTTATTAGACTTCGAATGGCGATATCTTCACTATCACTTTGGACTGAAAATTCACTAGCTCTGAGTGAGATTTCATCCCGAGAATTTCAGAGAATGATCTCACGCTGTAAATGTGCAATGACACCCTGAGCTTTGCGTTAAAAGACGAGCGTGCGGCTCGAAGCCCCGCGGCTACACTGATTGCGGCGGACCCTACGACCCGCGGAGACCCAAAATCCGTCCCCGGACCCTCCGTCCAAGGCTATACCCCGCTTCCCAATCAGAAGCGAAATCAAATTGTTTAACACAGCGGACACCAACTGCTATTTAAAGGTAGCATCTGCCCCATGGGGGTCGACTCGTCGAACTACACACATTCCGACACGACGACGGCGTTCTATCATAGAAACGTCGAAAATGTCTTTGTCATGGGGGAGCTTATTCGCTCGTCCAAGGCTCGCTAAGTTGTTATCGAAATATATCGATCTGTGTGTGAGTATGTGTGTATGTATGTGTGTGTGTGTGTGTGTGTGTGTGTGTGTGTGTGTGTGTGTGTCGGCGACAACATAAATGATAACGGGATTCGAGGAGTCGTGTAATTTTCCGCAGATTCCCTTCTTTTTTCCTCTTTTTTATGTGACAGAATATTCCGGAATGATGCGACTATCCGAGTCTGCACATCTGTAACATCTGTATATTTTGAAGTTTCAGTGTACGTTTGATACACATAGACATTGAAATTCTACTTAATAGCTCTAGATGACAGAAAACGCAACAAGATACCACTTGTAGTTTCTAAAGAGGATCTCTCGGCAAAGTTGGTAGATTAAATCGAGTCAAAATAGGCTTCGGAGTTATCAAAACAGACGTCAAGTGAGATATTGAGGTCGAAAGTAAGATTAAAATTTCAATTGGGCTTGGCATACACGCGTTTGCGACACCTGTCGAAAGTGTCGAGACACTACGAGTCAATTTGGAACTGATTACGATTCCCGCGATCCAGTCGGTTTTCGGGTAACGAGGAGCCAGCCGACTGACCTTCGCAGACGTCAGATCTGCGAGAGAGCGTATAACGAGCCGAAATTAAGGGGCATTGTGCCTTAAACAGATTGCACAGGCGTGTGTGGACGTGACCGTCGGGTGTGAGCCTCCGGTTCACGAGAAACGTTCGCACGAAGAGGGAATCCGTGTGTACGATAAGACGAAGAGAGGAGGCCTATGAAACGACGACGGGGAGACAGAGAGAGAGAGACATAAAGAGAGAAACGTACACGTAGGCACTCAGCCCCGTGTTTGCCTACACGGAAATCCTCTCTAACGGATTCTAACGCTCGACCGAGCTTGAGTTTGCGCTTTTTCATCTTTGGCGGACCGATGACTTTCCGGCACCTCCTGCGCTACCTCGGGATTTTCTCGATCGTTGTGACCGACGAGCAGGTTACACGACGCTCGAAAATCAACTTGGTTCCTCTCTCCCTTTCTCTCTCTCTCTCTCTCTCTCTCTCTCTCTCTTTCTCGAGAAAGAGAAAGAAAGAAGAATGGTTATCCGGTGTATCAAAGTAGTCAGCGAGTTTGCGACGCGATTAGGACGCTAATCACTTCACGAACTCGATGGCGATTCCGGGATTGATAAAACAAGTGCGGCGCATTTTCGTCGAGCTCTTTTCAATTTCTCTCCGCGAAGTTCCGACAGATCACGTAACACATGGATGCGAAATATCTTGTTTCAGGGTATGGAAGCAGCTTATCGAAGTCAGCACTGGACACGCACAGCCATCTCAGGCAGCCTGGTATGTAGTAGGTAGATATTTTTGAGAAGCTAAAGCATTCTTTTCTCACCAAGGCAGAATCCAAAGCAAATCCTAGTCGGAGGCGCGCGAATCGCACTCTTAAGAAAGCGTTGTAAACGAAGTATCAAGTTATCCCGAAGTATCAGGCCCAAAATAGAAAAGAAAAGAAGAAAAAGAAAAGAAAGAAATCGCGGAAAAATCGGGCTACGTGCAAAGGAATTCTCGCTCTCACCGGACGTGGTGATGTAAATCCGGGAATACGGGAGCAAGGTGAAAAGGGGTTCACCTACGCGATAGTCGAACAAGGTCACTGTTACCTCCCCGCGCGCGCGCATCATCGATTCCTCGAAAGTCTCGAGTCGTGACTCGAGAAAAGAGCCTCGAGAATCCTCGGGCGTAGTCGCATCCCAGTATTTCGCCCGTCGCTACTCCCCCTCGTTCCCGGCAGATAAATGGGTGTACCGCGCCCCTTCCCATTATTAACTTGTAAGTGAATTACCGTTCGATCGAAAGGCGATCACTCCGGCACGCATTCAGCGGATTCATCGGGCGAAACGACCTTTGAGGTCCGGCAATTCCGAATCCGTCCCCATCATCCGCGTCTATCCCCCATCTCTCATAATCGCTCGGCTTGTATTTTTATGGGGGTCCGTCTTGGAGTTCTCTCCTCTCGTGTCGTCGGGGTCTCCGCTCTTTGCTCTTTCAGACCGTGAAAGTCATTAAATCGCGACTGCCAGCCAGTCGACCGGCCTCCTTCCTCGTTACGATGGTCCGTTTGCATCTTTCTCTCTTTCGCGAAAAATTGCGAGGTTACGCCGCGCGCATTAATTAGCTCCATTGTCGACGCGGAATTCCCAACTTTGGAGTTTTGAGAGAATTCATATTTGCTGCCCGTAAATTTACAGAGTCTGCGATTATTAGCTTCATTAGTGCTCAGAGCGCAATCTCTTTCTTTCTCTTTACTCTCTTTATCTATCTCTCTTTCTCTTTCTCTCTCTCTCTCTCTCCCCCTATCTTTTATGTCGCAACAATAAAAATCCATACATCGAGCTCCCCGACCGAACCTCCGAAGGCTCAGAAGACACTCGTTTCACCCTTTGAGCCACTCCGTGTCGGCAGTTTCTCAAATTGAAATTATTATGATCCAAATGAATTCTATTCTATTGTGGGGTTGCGATTATGTTCTTTTGTACGGCTGTAGGGCCCTTCACGTCTGAGCGGCGGCGAGCGTCGGTGATGACGCATTGTAAAGCTTTTAAAGGGCGATACGGGGGGTCCTTGGAAAACAACCATGTAATGGATAGGTATATTCCACGCGAAACTGTGAAAAATTTCTCAAAAAGAGCGAGTCACATGGAAATATCAAGTCTCTCCGCCGTTTATCCGGCGAGATCGTTTCACTGCAACTGCTCTCGTGTGATTCAACGAGAGCTGTCACTATAATCGAGCGAGGGAGGTTGCTTGCCGCGCCGCAAGGCCGAGTCACAATAGTGATCAGATTCGGCATTATCGCGCATTCGACGTCGTTACGATGTAACACATGATGCAATGTAAATTTGTTGCGGATTTCTGCGCTTATTTACCGTTCACCTCCCGGTCTTTTTTCGTTCTACTGTCGGCTTCGTCCATCTTCGACAACTGTGATTGAATTTTACTAACATTACGCGGAGAAAACTCTTATGGTTGCTGCAACCACATTCTCTATGGTTAGGAGGCCAATTTGTGTGCAAATTCAAGTTAAATAGATGTTATAAAAAAATATTGCTGTCGTTATATGTCGTCATTGTTACAGTATACAGTCGTCACTGCCGCTAATTTGGCTGCTATACAGGTATCGAGGCCCACACTAATAGACCTTACTCGAAATTTATCTCACGCCAGATACTCAAGACTGAAATTCAAGTTATATCAGAGTTTCTCATTTGAATCGTACGATAGGCGTGACATTATATTTGTAATTGCAATTCAACTGAAAAGCTCACATATCTAACTCTGAGTTCAGATCTCGTCTGAGACAGATTTTAAGTAACTATTAATACAGACCTTAGAGCGCCGCTCCAACACGTACAGGACAGGTGGCAAAGGAGGCCAGTGTACTATTTCCTAGAATAGTACGGTCTCTACAACCTATTTATTAGAATAGTACGGTCTCTACAACCCTTTCGTATGCATGAGCGAATAAAAATAACATTAATATTTCATCATAGCTGCTACATTTAGCCAAGTGACGTCTCTGATGTTTACTCCACGTATGTGACATGATTGCTCCGAGTCCGGCGCGAGTGAGTGACGCTAATTGGATTGTAACTTATTGATTTAATGCAATTATAATATTATTTAATATATCCGTCTCGATTTCGCTTCGTAAGATACGCGACGCTTCGCACGCGCGCACGTGTTTATGACAAGTCCGATGTCTCTTTGGAGAAGTCGAGAGTAAAACATGCCGCTTGTATCGATCAGTTCACGCCTAGCCTAAATTAAACGCGACAATTTCTCACGGCGAAGCGCTGAATCCGTTGTCACCTCGCAGATCCCTACCAAATGTTCGGAGCGACGAGCAGTCGGCTCGCGAGCTCCGGTTCCGGTCAGATTCAGCTCTGGCAGTTTCTGCTCGAGCTCCTGTCGGACTCGAGTAACGCCGCGTGCATCACGTGGGAAGGAACCAACGGCGAGTTCAAGTTGACCGATCCCGACGAGGTGGCGAGACGATGGGGCGAGAGGAAGTCCAAGCCTAATATGAATTACGACAAATTGTCGAGGGCTCTGAGGTGAGTTCGCCGAAACGACGGCACCGCTCTTTCTCCAGCTATACCAGCAGACTGTAATTCTCCGCGAGACGCAACGGTTAGCAAACGCGAACGTGTCACGCGCGACAACGATGTTTTTTTTCCTGACTTTTTTTCTCTCTTTTCCTCGCCAACGTCAAATGGAAAACCCATTAACGGGCCATCATTTATGTTTTGACGAAGTTTCGGGGAGAAAGTAAATTCGTTCGGCACATGAACATTCGCATAGCTGTGTGCTCGCACGCGCGCGCGCGCGCGTGTGTGTGTGTGTGTGTGTGTGTGTGCATGTGTCGATGTGTCGTCAGGGTTCAGGGGGTGGCGGCCGGGAGAGGAATTTCAATCACCGACAGTCAGACCGACGGTAGACGCGGCTATTATTTTTCCATCAGATCCACTGATTATATTACACGATTGCTCTCTTTTTGACGTCCCTTCGCTCACCGTGTAAGAACCCCGCGGACAAGAGAAGCGAACTCGTTCCCGACGCTCGCACCGACAACTCGCTGCCTACGTATTTGCGCAGTTTGCTTAAATTAATGAAATCACGGATACGCAGCGTAATATCGATTATTCTCGCGACTCGCGTTATTTCGATCGTTTCTCTCCCGCGATCCTGACAAAAGGTCCCACCGTCGCGCGTCGTACGCACTGAGAGGAAAATATACAGTAATAATTGCAGTCGCGGCAGAAAATCACTTTTGTGGCTACTATAGTGTCAAACGCAATTTTATATTAGTACCTTTGTACTAATATAATTTGTAATTTTGTATTAGTATTTTATATTATAATGTATTACTACTATTTGTTACCACTTTGCTATTATTTTGTAATAATGAAGGTGCAACGCGTTACTTGTTGTTGTGCAAGTTGCAAGTTATTTTCTTTCACGCCCGAAGAGAATATTTTATATAGTACGATTTCTTTCAATTTTACTGTTTCTAGTAATGTGGGATAGACCGTCAGTAAGGTATATCTTGTTAAGGAACATTTTGCTCGAAACATAGCAAACGTTTTAACAACACATTTCGGTTCCTAAAATCCAAATATGAATTTTCAATCATATGAAGTGAAAGGGTAGTTGATTACTGTAGAATGTCGATTATTTATCTCTCGGCTGTAATTTCAAAATTCTGTAGCAATTTTCACTGTAAAATTCTCCCCATGTAGTGCCGATTCGCAGTAACGACGCTTTTTCTTTTTTCGTTAATGATGATAATGGTAATGAATTATTTCCAATATGTGACGAGTAACTGTAACGCGTTGCTTTTAGAGAGCAGCTTATCAACTCTGACTGCCATTATTTAATGGTGGAAATAATAAGAAAATAGTCTCTTAAAGAGAATCAGTGAATAGTCAGTTATGATATCAGTTATGAGTATAGCACTTTCAGTGTTATACTTATAACTGCAATCAGTGTATATTCACTGTTTTCAGTGATGTTTGACTGATTTATTTTAAAAGAATACGATGGACACCGAAAACGACTGCAATTTCAACGAGATCAATCATATTTTTCTCTCAGTGCGCAAGAAAGGTCTCACGGGGGATGTTAGTGAGATCCCAGCGACGGCAAGTGTCAATCCGCTGTCTGTCCACAGGTACTACTACGACAAGAACATCATGACGAAGGTGCACGGCAAGAGGTACGCGTACAAGTTCGATTTCCAGGGGCTGGCGGCGGCGACGCAGCCGGCGGCTGCCGATCCGGCGGCTTACAAGTACCAGAGCGAGCTCTTTATGTCCGGTTACGGCCACGCCAAGCTGAACCTGATGCCGCCGCCGGCGGCCTCGGTCTCGGTCTCCGTTCCAGGCGGTCTCTTCCAATCGGCATCCAGCTACTGGTCGACCAGTCCAGGCGCGAACCTGTACGCCGGCCATCACACGGCCTCGGGACACGTACCACCTCATCTCGGCACCTATCCACACTATGCATGACCCACCGCCGAGCACTGGGGTGCGCTGGGCACGCCGCGTTGAGGGCAGCGTTTCTATCGGGAAAAAGAGGAAAAACAGAAAATGGAGGAAAAAAAATACGAACCGTCGCCGTCGCCGTCGCCGCAGCCGTCGTCGTCGTCGTCGTGGTGGTGGTGCCGTGGCTGCGTAATCGAAGAATACCACACCGGCTCCCCGACCCCGCTTCCGCGCAAACACACGGAACGTACTCTCTGCTTCAGGTACTCGCACGCGAATCTGCCCATTCCGCGTGTCCGTTTTCGCCGAAATCTTCATTACGGTCGCCTGATAACAGATCTCGAATGAGCCGTCGAATATTCCGAGCAGACGCGCGTTATTTTCTTCGGGAGAAGAGTGAGAAAGAAGTTCAGGGGTTGCGTTTACAGCGAGATGCAAGAGAAAGATGTCTGTGAAACGCGGACGCAATGAACGAGAACGCGCTTGGGCAGATTTCGTTGCCCGAATCACTCGGTACGCTCGTGCCGTTCAATATCGTGTGCAATACACCGTCGCAACTCGGTTGCAATCTCGGATGCAATACCTAAGCAACACGTCGTCGTAATTAACGGTCATTTATAAGCCTCCTGTGTATAGGGGCGATCTCTCCGCGCGTAACGAGTGCCCTGCGGATTTTGATTCGCCGCGGCCGACGGTGCGCCCCCCAAAAAAAAGAAATAAAGGAGGAGAGAGATAGAGAGAAAGAGAGAGGGAGAAAGAAAGAGTAAAGAAACGGAAGAGTTATTGTAAGAACGTTGTACATACAGTATAATGCATTACGTTAGTACAGGGTGTGCGTCCGTGAGAGGATTCGCATGAATCTCTTTACCGTTGTCGTTACCGTTGCCCACCCCTTCGCGAAGAATAGACACCCTCCGTAAAAATTCCCATCAAACCTTGAGCTAAAACTCAGTTAATCCTTTACCAAAGACGTAACCAAAGAGAATTAGTGTTTTACGTTCTTGTCCGAAGAGAATTAGTATTTTTGTTTACAGTGACGTGAATCAAGCGAGAGAACGCGTACTGCGGTCACCTGTGTCCGATGAAAGGCTTGTTACTGATATTGTGAAATTTTAGAGAGATTGTTCCGTTTGTGTGTTACTTTTTTCTTCCCTGACATCGTCTTGTTTGGTCACGCCGATCCGACTTGCGCTTGTCGACGTATTCGTACGTAATTTCCCTCACGATTGACGTTCTCCCCGAGCGAGAGCAGAATGTGCGATCGCATGACGGTAAATTGAGCATGCGGAATCGTCTGATCCAAGGGAACGCGAGCTCGTACACGAATAAGAAGCCGGCGGAAAGTTGTTCCCCCCTTCGCGGAATCGCCGGCATAAATACGGTTGGATTAAATCGGGCATGTGTACATTAAAAGAACGGAACGTGTATTCACCGTGTTACAACCACTCGATAACTTGAGTCATCCTTCGCGTCCTTACGCGACCGTGACGCGTAAAGCTGTGTAAATCTCGACTTCCAGGGAGGTTCCGCGCGCGATCGCTTGCTCACACCCCCGACCGTGAGAGAAAGAGAGAGATGTACTCATGTTCGATTCAGACCAAAACTAATATGTGTATCATAAACTCTTTTAACTTATTTGTTACGTGAAGAGACGGGTGGAGACGCCACATATACGTATACCTACGGTCAAATCGGACGAATCGAGCGTGCGGGAAACGATCGTCGAACGCATGAAACAATATTTATACAGCTACTTTTATCGACACGTCTGGGCTCGCTTGAGCGGGAATCGCTCGTTTCTTTGACGTAATTTTACAACGAAACCCGCGTTATCGCGTTCTCATCACCTGTCATCAGAGGAAGAGAGAGGGAAAGAGAAAAGAGAAGAAGGAAAAGAAATAAGGAAAGAGAAAGAGAGAGACGTAGACGATAATTAAAAGTACAACTTTTAAGTCATATCAATTGACGGCAATCACACGCAATCAGAATCGTACTTTCGCGCTCACACGCATACATATACACATAAATATACACGCACACATACATATACACGCGCACATACACCATCCCTTTTTAAAATCAACGTGAGACATATGTGGTCGCTCCACCCGTGTCGAGACAGAGGGCGGATTGCCGAGATCGGGTTCGAGTTCTGATCGGGAAGCGCATAGACTCGCGACGTCAATCGCAACGCATGCCGTATCATCACGTTTCCGGTGCACGAGCAACAACATTTATCAACTGCTTCTCGAAAAACCAGATCTTACGGGAAACAGTTTAGAAATTTAGCTGTGATCGATACGTAGGAGCCTAACACTAAATGTCGCAGATATCGACGTTAAATTCGGGCTCTCCTCTGCACATCGCACTCGACTACTTCCGTAGTCCGCGAAGAGACCACTAATCATACGCGATACCCCGACATGAACGATGAAGCGCGAGCAACACGAAGGGAAACGACGCGATTTCCCGTCGCGAAGTCGCGAGGACGATCGGAGGACCGTGCTTCCGCGTGCGGACCCTCGACGCGTCTCGGCAGTCCGTCCCGAGATGAAGACAGGCGTACCTCGTGTCGAAGAAGCGTAACTCCTCAAGACATATATTGTACCATATTACTCTAAGTAAAGTGACCCTAAGCATTCCTAGAGTTAACTTTAACGATTAGCGCGCGACCCTCGAACGAATGGCCCGTGGGACCGATCGTGCGATCGGCACCGCGACGGGGAACGGGAATCATCCGGATAGACAGTTTCCGGATCGGTCCGACGGGTCGCGAGCGTCAAGGGCGCTCATGTAGATAGGGTGTTTTCATGTTTAGCGTAGGCGTGTAGAGAATTTAGTCTTAGCGCGAGAGTGCGAGCGGATTGAGTGGACGTTAAAAATCGGAGGGAGAAAAAGGAAGAAAGAGTGTGTGCGAGTGAGTGAACAAGAGAAAGAGAGCCTGTCCATGTATGTGTGCTTGCTCGTGTGAGTGAGTGTGAGAGGCGCGTGTGCGTTCGAACGGGCGTGATTTCGAGAGTGGAGGTGAATAATAATAACTACGATGACTATGATGACGACGATGACAATGATGGATGAGTGGATGAACCGAGGGGTGTCTGGCACTAGCGTAGATCGCGTTAAGTTAGGTAGATAAGCGATCCCCCCATCTCCCCATCACCCACCCCCTCTCGAAGGAGGGCCGAAGAACATGGTTTCATCGTTTTCGATAGCGGAACTGCTAAACTACGGCAGACAACAATCAACCGGGCCCAGAATCGCAAAGTGTCGCCGCGGGAAAGCGGGGGAGCGCTGTTGTTGTTCTTGTTGTCGTGCGCTTGTATTAAAGTCGCCATGTTCTAATTAAACGTGCCGACGGGGTTGTATCGGTCGTCGGCAAAATCGATGGGACTTCCCGTTTTTCTCTACGTTGTCTCGCGTCCATCACCACCTCATTTTTGATTATGTGTGCGACAAGGAGCATGTACACAACGCGTATACCTCGTATGACGCAGCCGAGGAGAGAGTCCGGAGCGAGAAGAAAATAAATGGGAGAATGAGAAGAGAAGAAATAGAAGAGGAGGAGGAAAAAAGGATCGGCAGTTTCGCGGCTTCGTCTCTTTTCCCTCTTTCGCCCCCTTTCCCAGTCTGTGCGTGTGTGTCATGTACGTACGTGTAAACGCGTATGTGTAAACGAGTCTGGGGAAAAAGGAACGAGACAAAAGGAGCGGAGACACAAAGAACGGTTGTAGCGCGATGGTGAAGGAGGAGGTGATGGAGGAGGGAGGACGAGGAGGAGGACGAGGAGGGAAGAGGCACGCGAAGGCAGATAGGAGAAAAATAAGCCGAGGAACACACGGTAGGTCAGTCTTGGTTGCTGGCGGTTGGCGAATTGGTCGGGTTGCCATGGAGAAGAGGGCCGGGGGTATTCCCCGGGTACGGCGGCTGGGTCCGCCCCAACGGGAAACCCCCATTCGGGAAATTCGTGGCGTCGCCACGCCGAACCTGCCGCGGTGCCGGAGGTTTAGCTCGGCTTGGCTAATCGATTCTGCTACCAATCAGCGCCCGCGCCGTTCCTCCACATCGTCCTCTCCACCACTTTACGCTCCTCTCTCTCTCCGCTTGCTCTCTCGTCTCTCCTTCTCTCTCTTTCTTCGTGATACTTTGTGCACAACTACGTCCACTACTAGCACCAACATTAACACCAACATTAGCACCAACACCGTCGTCAGTATACCAACACCAGCATTAAAATCAACGCCGACACCAACACCATCACCAACATTAGCTCAGCACTATCGTCACGTCGTCATTCATCGTCACGAGTTTCAGGTTCTGCCTAGCTCTACATTACTTCTATATTACCTACTCTCCGTCATCAGCTTTATCTTATAGAGTACTTAATATATACTCTTCTTCATCGCCTTAAACTTCTATTGCCAAATATAACATTTAAATCACTAGTTTCAATCATTTAAATTACTAGTTTCGTTGTCTTGTTTCCTATTCTTTTCTCTATCCCCTTATTTATCAATTATTGTATATCTTTGAAATGACAATATGAACAAGTCCATTTTTAAAAGCTATATACAAAATGTTTAAAAGAATCTCTTTAAATTTATCACATATTCTATATTTAATTTATTTTCAAATATAGATAAATCGTCTTAAATTCTTTTCCAAGAAATATTTTTTAAGCTATGTATACACACACACACACACACGGTTTATGAGTAATTAATTAATTACGTAGTCCTCGAAGTGATTGATAGACAGCAGAAGCCGTCGGTTTTAATTACGCTAACCTAGTTTCGATAGACGAAGTGATTCAAGCCAAATTACTAAGTTATAACCATATTTTATTTAATCCCATCAAATGATAATGATCGTTTATTCGACGCAAAAGGACGCCTGAAAGCGATTTAGGTAAGATTATTAAGAAGCGAGACATCTCTGTGTCTAAGAAATGTCATTTAAAAAGTCTCGATATTTCAATTATCGATTATCGATTGTTACGAGTTGTTACGAGTCGCATATACAATCCTATTTTCGGAATTTTTAACTTTACTTTTTGTTTTACATTTGGAATTAATTTGGATATTTGGCGATTATACGTGTGCTTTTCAATATATCCTTCAAAATAAAACTCTAACCATAAGCAGAAACAAATAAAATAAATAGCGAAACTAGCTAACTGTTTAATTTATTCGAGAGAAAGAGAGAGATTCATTGATCTAATAATTACGTATAAATATAACAATAACATGTTGAAGAAATATGGATAAATTATATATAAAAAAGAATAAATAAATTAATATAATTAAATAAACCAATAGCTGTTGTATTATACTGTCTCTTAACCTATCTTTCACTCGTACTTATAGGAAGGTAAAGATTCGTTTGGCTTTAGTCGAGTCGTGCTATGGCCTTAGTCATCAATAAGTATAGTGGCGACTCACAGCGGAAATTTCAGAACTAACTTTTGAAAAGATACCAGAGATATGAACATAGATAGCCAAGATTCAAACCTCTTGTGAATCAGGCTTTACTCGACAATGTTAGATGGCGTTAGATAGACGTTGCAAACTTTGACCTCTTATAATAATTAGGGCCAATTATTCTAACATCTTAATAAGCTACTTGATAATTAAATCATGTCTGTCTTCGTTTTTTCTCCAAATTTTCTCAAATTCGTGTTAATTATTGCTTGAATTGTGGTAAAGTTAAAATGCGGTATTAAAAATCGGATCGAATATTTGAGCTATTCAATAAAAGAATAGCTTTCTAATGGAGAATTGAATTCTGTATTAGAAAGCTATTCTCCTATTGGATATTGGACGTCGTACGTCGGACATCGGACGCGATGTGAATCCTGCATGATGAGAGGTGATCTCGTTTTGCGATAGTATCGCTGCTAGCTCGCTTCGTGCTTACGTCGCGCGATCTGTTCATCAGTGGTGAGACAAGAATAGAGCGATTGGATGTCTCTCCTTTTTTACCTTACTATCATTGTACGGAAGTATATACAACGGGCACAAACTAGGCGCATTTTATCGTTACCATCGTGAAAATGCACCTAACCAACAGAGTAAAGGCGCACTTTATTAGATGGCGTCTTGAAAATGCGCCTAATGCCTGCATTCATAAGACCTGTTCTTTGTAGCTGCACTGCTGAACTGGTGCAATATATTGAAGTGAAACAAATATAAGTTTTCTCACTCTAACTTATTGCACTAGTTCAGCAGTGCAGCTATAAAGAACAGGCCTATAGTCAAGCCTTATATTTAAGATCTCCTTAAGTTTATCTTCAGATGTTCTACGGATCATTTTATTGGCTACAGAGTATCTGAAGATGAACTTAAGGAAGCCTTAAATATAAGGCCTGACTATGAATACGGGCATAACTCTGTCCATTGAATCAGGCTGGTGGCCGCTTTTATGCTTTTTTCTGGGTATCTACAGCATCCATTATAGATTTGAATAATCGATATTTCAAATATTAATCCATACTGAACGCTCAAACGCGAATTGATCTTTTTTTCGATGTAAATTTTGTGTTAACGAAAAGTCTATACTAGTCGATAGATAACCAATTATATTTATGATTCAATTTATTTACTTTTACTTGTGATTAATTTTACGTGGAATAATATATTAAAAGACATATATGTGTGAGTGCTGAATATTTATTCACGCATCCAAGTAATCAAAATTGTAAATAAAAATAAAAAATTCTCAAAAGTTGAGATCATATCTACGACTACTAAATTATGCAAGTTGACGGTTTTAACAATTTTTATATTAATATCAAATGAGATATTCTAATAATAAAAATTAGTATGCTTTACTCGATATTTATATTCTATAAAATATTTGATTACGTTTTGAAATGTGTTTGACACACTTCGACGATTCGCGGGAAAAGGATACGAAATCGATAAAGAAGACCGCATATATGTGCCGCGATAGAAGCTCTCTGTCATACTACATGTGATGTTTACGATTTCAGTGCGGGGAGAAACTTGTAGTCATCGATATTTATTCCTCGGCGCGGTCATATAACGGAAATGTCAAGTGTTATTTAAAACGTAAAACGAGTTCTTTCGACGCAGCCGGCAACTAGGACTAGAATCAAGATGAGCACGAAACATTTGAGCACCGGTAGGACAACATATTTATATTGCGTAAAATTATAAAAAGATACGATTGACGAAAATGCTTCAGCTTGTGGTTCTTTCAGGATCAATACCACCGCCTCTCGTACGTGGGAAATTACGCTTGTACAGCATGCGTTTTTGTCCGTACGCGCAAAGAATATTGCTCGTGTTGGACGCAAAACAAATTCCGTGAGCATCATTACGTTGCAAACTGTTGCCTTATCAGTAGATCTTAAACAATTAAGTTCTATTTTTTGTAAAAAAATATCTCTAAGCGATTCCTTTAAAATATAGTTATCAGATATAATTTCTACATGTATAATTTTATATTTCTGTAAAGAAATAAAAAGAATTTCTTCACATATTGTTTTATATTTAGGTATGATGTAGTAAATATAAATTTAAAACACAAGCCAGAGTGGTTCATAGAAAAAAGCCCATTGGAAATTGTTCCATGCATTGAACTTGAGGGAGGACATACATTATATGAGAGCCTGATTATTGCCGATTATCTGGACGAGGCTTATCCACAAAATAGACCACTGTATTCATGTCAGCCTTTTGCAAAAGCCAGAGATAAGTTATTGATTGAGAGATTTAAGAATGTGATAAACATAATGTATAAGGTATTTATTACACTGATTTTCTATGTATTCATATACTAAGTTTATATCTCTGTGGTACAAATGTTAATTGTATTTGGATAAAATTGATTTGTAGTTAAATAAAGCACCAGCATTGGACCAGGGTCTATTCAATGAATTATTGGCTGGTTTAGAATTTTATGAGCGGGAGTTAGTCAAAAGAGCAACAGCTTTCTTTGGTGGGCGCAAGCCTGGAATGTTAGATTTCATGATATGGCCATGGTGTGAAAGAGCTGATGCAATGAAAATTCTACGAGGAGAACAATATGTCATACCTCGAGATCGTCTTCTGCGCCTGGTAATTTAACACTTTTATTGATAATCCAGTTTGTAAATTAGAACTGATTGTAAGAGTTTGTGTGTTTAATATAGTTTGAATGGAGAGCTGCTATGAAAGAAGATATCGCAGTGTGCGGCAGCTTCTTAGAACCTGAGATACATGCTAAGTATTTACGTAGTCACCTAGCTGGTGTACCTGAATATGACTAAATAGCTAATTAAAATCAGAGTACAATCTAAATCAGAGTATCATTCCACTTAACAATGTACTAAATTTGAGTGATACAAATATTCCTTTATATGTTGTCAGTGGTCCAAATGCAGCACAAACTTTATTCTATATAATTATATAAATATATATAGCGATTATATATTTATAGAAACAGAGAAAATTTATGTTTGAAATCTAAGATAATTATTATTAATGATTTATAGAACAAAGAAGCATTTATTTTAATTGTTGTCGACTAATATATAAAAATAAAGATTGCTTTTGCAAAAATGTATCTCAATATGCTTATCCTGGTCCATGCAATAAACAATTATATGTTATATGGGAAAGGAGATATTTCTCAAACATTGTGCTAATTTTTTATTTATGATGTATCCAGAATTTATAAATTTAGAATGTTTATTACAGTGATATTTTACATATACATGTATTCAGGCATTATACATTGAATTATATTTCTGTTTGATATTCATCTTTATGATACTCTCTAATGCATTGTGATATTGATAAGATCTGATTCAATAGTTATATTATTTATAATGAAAAAAATAATAAAATATATTGCAATTCTTCTAGGAGTTTCAGCCTGTGTATTAAGTTGTTCAAAAAATTTATATATATTTCACAAAAAAGAAAACTGAAGATCAAATTGATTATTACCCATAAAGATTGTATGTATTCTATTATTCAAAAATTATAAAATTCGCAATTTTTTCTTATTTCTCTGAGAGAGAAACCTTAATATATTTTTTAATTCTCCAATTCCCCCCTTTTAATCCTCAGTAGTAATTTCATCTTTAAATCCCTCTTGATTTTTTCAATATGACAGTCTTCATTTCAACCTTTAAATGCTTAACATATTTTATCTAAAAAAAATTAAAAATTATAACATCGTTATATATATTCTTGTGAAAGTCCTGCTTCTCGATAGTGTGGATTGCACGGAAACGAGTAAAATTAAACGAAGATAAATAAAGGTCATTGCACATGCAAAGACATAGCTGGATATGTAAGCATAAGATCGTATGGATAATGAGTGCGTTCAGCGAACTTAACAGTTGCACAACAGTTGAGCAATTCGTCAATGTAATTGGTCTAAAGTTAGAGATCTAACAGTAAGGACCAATAATCACTGACCGCTCACTGATCAGCTATGTTTTTTAAACGCAGCCACTGATATTACAACTCGTGATCAAAACAATCTTCAAATTAATAAAACAGAAATAAAAGTACGATAATTATTTCGATAATGGTCATTATTTGTTTCTAGCGGCGCTACCGATGTTGACAGATGTCTAAAGATTGGTTTACGATGGCCGTAATTCGTTATCTTATGCCGGAACCGTAAAAAATTGACTAATTATAGTCGAATTATAGAAGAATAATCTACTATGATTGGTCAATTTTTTACGGAGTCCGGCATAAGTTAACGGATTACGGCCATCATAAATCAGCGGGTACGTTCAGATTCTCTACCCGGGTGCACTCTAAAGGCAATACATGGGAGCGTTCCAGCGTCGAGCGTTAAAGCATTAGCCAATCAACGTATCAGGTCCCAGAAGTATACTTGTAGTTCTTGCGGAAAGTGGCACGTTGATTGGCTACCGCTTTAACGCTCGACGCTCGATGCTCCCATGAAAAAGTACCTTAGAGCTGATATTTCACGTGTCGTACGATAAGCTTTTTGGATACGTTCATTAGTTGACAAACAGAGAACCTAGAAATATTCTATTCACCAACCAATAAACGTATCTGAAAAGCTTGTTGTACGACACGTGAAATAGCACCCTTATGCACCGCGTCCGATGTCCGATATCCAATAAGAGAACAGTTTTCTAATAGAGAATTCAATTCTCCATTGGAAAGTTGTTCTCCTATTGGATATCGGACGTCGTACGTCGGACATCAGACGCAGTGTGAATCTTCCATTAGGCTGATATTTCACGTGTCGTACGACAAGCTTTTTGGATACATTTATTGGTTGGCGAATAGAGTATTTCTAGGTTCTCTGTTCGTCAACCAATGAACGTATCCAAAAAGCTTGTTGTACGACACGTGAAATATCAGTCTAAAGCGAGGAGCACACACTCTTGCATAAAGGCATAATGCACAACGCATAAGAAAATTGACCAATCAGATTTCTCATTTCTATTGCCATGATGAAAATAAAGGACTCTGATTGGTCTATTTTCTTATGCGTTGTGCATTATGTCTTTATGGAAGAGTATATGCTCCCCGCTTAATACTAAAAGTGCTATAGTATATGTAACATATACTATATAGTATTTTTAATAATAGAGTGCACTCGGATGAGGAATCTGAACGTAGCCCAAGATCGCCGATCACAAATGTCCTGATTGGTCACAGGTTGACTCAAGCTGAACCCGCAAAGCAGCTGATCGGGCAATGAACGAGCGGACTAGAGCCGCGCGACCAATCGATGCATACGATACAGTTTGTTCCTCAGCGCTGCGCCAGGAGGGGAGGCGATAGGTGCGCTCGCAATGTCAAACAGGTTGAGCGCATCCGCCGTGCCTTCCTCTTCCGCGAGTTGGAGGATACTTACGTCAGGCAATACATCCCGAAGTATGACGGCTGTCTTTTGAGACGCACATGACGACGATGTTCGCCGACGTCGCGAATCACCGATCTCTCGCATCGTCCTTGGCACGTCCAGTCGGAATGTCAGCCGCAACCGCAGCCGCGGCTTCGTCGCGGGTCCGAAGCTTCGTCGAGCTCGCGATGGACCGGCGTTCTCCCATGGATCGCGTCAATTCTGTACGTTGAGTCACATTTATTTTCATGCGAGCGTTGCGTCGCATTGGCTCGCAACGTCGCCAGCACGTTGACATTCAGCTCAAATGCACACACAACTCCCCCGCCCTCACACACATATATAAGGTAAATGACCCAGTAATTGAACCTCGTATCAATAATTGAAATATTAATAACATGTTTGCATCTAATATTTCTAAAAAGAACTTTGAAACTTTATTAAAAAATATTTCTTCACGTTAATTTATCGATATTATTTAATGGTTATTCAATCATTCAGTCTGTATTATTCGATAGAACATGATTCATTCTCTAGTTCAATTACTGATACAACTGGCACTATCTAATATTAAAAATACAACTGATATTTACTGATTATTTGATTTTCTGTTATTTTTCAATCGCTAACAGAAAATTTTATATAAATGTTAGTTTTGTTAGTAATCATTAATTATACATTAATAAAAATATTTATCTTAATTTTAATAAAATATTAGTTGTATCATTAATTTTGAACTAAAAAATAAATCATTTTTAATCACCAAATAATATAGACTCAATGACTGAATGCTCATTAAATAATATTACAAATTGGCACAAAGAGAAATATCTTCTAAAAAAATTTCAAAAACTTTTTTTAAATATTAAGTTCAAATATATTATTAATGTTTCAATTATTAGAGGAATGTTAAATTACTAGAACATTTACCTTATACACATACTGTTATGATACTCATGCAGTAATCATCAACGAAGTGACCGCTCCAACGAAAACGAAGGTGTGAGTAGTACAACTCGTGGTATGCTACGTGGTGAGAGGCAACACAGCTAGAAGAGGAGCAGGGGACCGGCGCTATGGTGCGTGTAATAACGGTGCACAACTTCCTGGGGCAGAATGTCAGCCAGATCGAAGAGCCGATGGCGATGTGCACGGCCAGCAGCCAGGGCCGCGAGATGCTCCTGCTGGCGTTGTCCACGCATTGCGTGGAGGTGTGGGACTTGATGAACTCCGACGTCAAGCTGCACACGGTTTTCCCCACGGTAGACATGATCAATCAAATGGCGCACTGCGCCAAGGGTGACTACGTCGTGACATTGGAATCAAAATATCTCAGAGAGAGCGTGAGCAATAATCATGTGAGTAGAGCCACTTCTAATTTTGTAAGGATTTACGTCAATTGGGCTGTGGTGAAGGATCAGAGTCAAGCAATGCGCGCCAGGATCGCGGGACGCGTTACCCCGAGTCTGAATCGGCCCTTGAACAGTCTGGAGATGATAGAGCTGCCTCTCAGTGTGCAGCCCACACTGGTCGCCTGCTGTCAAAGCACAGGTAACTTGCTGGTGGCTTCAGGGAACAGCGCTATTCTGCACGAGTTCAAGCTGGAGACTCAACAGGTGTCTAAGATGAAGTTCATAGATTTTGAGTCCAGACCATGGTCCTTGGGCTTCACATTCGCGCCCACCCATATGGAGATCATAGAGGACTTCATAGCTATAATGGATAATACGAATCTCTCTGTCTTTCGTCTCACGAATTCAATGTACGAGGACATAGATCAACTGAGCTCGTTAGCTTCGACGAATTCCTCCTCAGTCGACAAGACATCCATATCCACGGACTCGTCGCTTGTGGAGAACAGCAACAGCTTAGGGAACGACGATGTAACGCCACAAGTGGTGACCACGAAACCCAAATCCACAGATCAATCAGATCGCCAGTCTGAAAGCAACGAAACCGTGCTGACTAGTCTGATGTCCAGAGATAAAAAGCACAGAGGCACCAGAGGCGGCAACACCTGGTGCAGATTGGAGTCGAGCGACTTTAACCGAACGAGACCAAGTAATAATAAGAATTACATCGACTGGGAGCACTTGGTATGCAATGAGAAGGACGAGATGCAGAGACTGATCGCACAGGGTATCATTGATTCCAATTCGCAGCCGTTGACGGTGTGCCTGCCGTCAATAAGTCTGGAGAGAGCTGGACCGGGTCACACGCTGAGCCCTTTCGTGCTGAACTCAGTGGACGTCAGGATTTTCATCAAGACAACTTCGCCGGACGTAGGCTGGTCTGAGAATTACACCATTAAAAATCTATTGTGCTTGAAGATCAACGCCGGTAATAGCAGCAATAGCACCAAGTTGGACGGAGTTCTGGAGGTCTTCAGATGTTTGGTATTGAAGCCGTTGTATCTGAAAAAAGAGTGTAACATCACCAGCATGAAGAAATCTATGCTGCGGTCCGGCAAGTATAAGAACTTGCAGGGCGTAAGTTGTTTCGTTTGCACAATGCAGGAGGGCTACCTCTATCACTTTAACGCGGCGAGCAACAGCTCCATGGATGCGACGTGTTTGACCACTTACCCATTCACTGCGCCTGTTTATCATGTCGCGCTGGAACACACCGTGCTTCATGCGCTAACGGAAGCTGGTCTCGAATCCTATACTTTACGTCTGTCCCATCACATCGCCAAACTGTCGAGCAGTACCGACGGTACCAATCCCACAACTTGTCCTAGTCTCAATGAACCAGTCTGTCTGATCGGTTTGAGGCCGTTTCTAGGAATACAGAAGCTGTTACACACCAGAAGCTATATAGTTCTGCTGGCGAAAGCGGACAGCTCGTGGACTATGTATTCCTTGAATCTGCCTAGTCTTGAGAACGTATACTTCGACATCCTGAACGCCGCGAAGAATCACAGGTCCTCCAGCCCAAGCACCTACCGGCACCTGTTGGGAGAGGCGCACGCCTTGATACGTTTGGCGAAAGACGTTTTCTACAACGACAATAACGATGAGTTCGATGACGTGACACACAAAAATGATCTCAAGCTGAAGAATCTCTACAATCAGTCATGCGCGTTACTCGCGGATTACTACATACGATCGGAAACCGAGTCCGATTGGGACTTGTGCATACCTTACTACAAGATGTCTGGATTGAAACCTTCTGAGGTATTGTCCAGGAAGTGCAGCCAAGATGCGCCAGGGCTGCTGACGTTCTTGACGAACACGCTTCTTACGATGAAGAACGGTTCTGAAGCGGACGCGCTTTTCCAAGGATACAATATCATGGAGATCATCGGTAAGCTGGAGAGAGATAATCTGTTGAAGCTGATCTTCGGCAGCGCCATCCTAAGGGAGTACGCCACCGAGAAGCTAATCAACGTGCTGTTGACTCACGAGACTGATGACACCGTGAAGCTCGCTTTAGCGATTCTCTACATCCAAGCAGACAAGCAGAAGCAAGCGGAGAAAGCGTTGGAGTCGGTTTCTGCGCGATGCATCAAGCAGATCGTCCTGGAGCGCTGGGAGTTGCTGTTCGACGTGACCGCCATGAAGAAGAGGAGTCCTATGATCCCCACCTTCTCGGATTTCGCTGGCACCCTGATGCTCATCAAGAACACCACCTTTGCGGATATTCTCATACGAATCATCGAAAACGAAGGTACGTTGTCCTTGCATCAAATTATACAGGTGTTCTTGGAGTATCTGCCGTCGCGAGTTGGCAGGGATGGGCACAACGCGGCCGCTACGTTGCAAGCCTTCCTCGAGAAGTATCTGCACAACTACTTCAGCTCCAAATCCATGACGGAAGGTGCGATCGTGAGTAAGAATCAGGTGCGCGCAGACTTCGCCCTCGTCGAGGCGTTCAAGTTACTGGTGCGGTCTTATTTGGGCAAGCTGACGCAGACGAAGGTCTACAACACCGAGTCGAAGGAAAACCAGGAGAACGACAACGAATATTTCATGTTTGCTAAATACCGACCGAGCTACTTGAATAAAATGCCACCGTATACCAAGGATTATCAAAAGATCTTGAATATGAACGATTTTAAGGATTTAGCAAATGTCAACCACGCGTCCGAGAGCGAAAAAGTCGTACCCAAAGAGTTGTTCAAGTTGCAATCCGTGCTGTCGTGCGAGTTCCTGCCGGTGGAATGTTTGCACGAAGTCCGACAGTTTCTCGAAACGCAGAATATCGATGGAGGTTTGTCCCTCAAGACCTTGTGCATCCAAAACACAGAGGAAGTCACAACGATTCTGATGGATAACTGCTCGCAGGCGGTATTACAGTATGCGAAGGTAGTCTTTTTGCACATTGTACCGCTTTTCTGTGCATGCGCAGAATTCACCACTATTGTTTGTGTCTCAGGATAAGTATACCAAGGACACCGAGTGGAAATACCTTATCGAATTAACACGAGATAAGATCGCCATGTCAACAACGCAACAGGAGCTACAATGGCTGTATACGCAGATTATGAAAGGTGAGTCGCGCATAATTATATGCCGGCAAGCCGTGATTTGATTTGGTTTTCTTTCACAGAGATTATGAACTATTTGCCGCACGTGTTGTCCATGAAGAGTCTACATCGCATCTTACCGAGGGATGACATTGCGGCGTTTCAGAGATGCACCGAAATGTGCAATCAAATCATGCATGCGGACCATGTGAAGTCGTTGATCATGGAGACTGGGCAGCAACTCTTGACGACGCTGAAGTTTTGAAGATAAGCTTCTTACCAAATATCACTTAATTAGCTAGTCAGTTTCTTTAGACCAACTAGGAGGGGATTTTTTGATTCGGGAAACACGAGTACCGCAATATCGGTGTTTTTTTAACAGCGAAATACGGCGGAGTATTATTATATACTTGTGCACACAAACACACTTGCGATTAACTATTTCTACGAACTTTCAGACTATGTTCCTGATCCGATAGTAAAGCATGATGAAACGACGTTTGTTAGTCGATAGGCGTGCCGACTCACGCATTTATAACGATAATAGGCAACTTTCATCTTAATTATACATATATATATATATATGTGTATATATATATATATATATATATATATATATATATATATATATATATATATATATATATATATATATATATATATATATACACACATGAACAAAGAAACTCGGAGATAAATACTATAGATAGAAAATTTGTCTATAACTAACTGTTGAATCGCACGCGCGACTGCGCGTTCTATATAGATATATTATAATACGACTAAAAATGTAAAATCTGTCCCAAAGCAAGTGTGCGGTGCAGTAATTGAAATGTGCGAGATTTAAAGTAGCACACGTGGAGTCTAACAATTTGAAGTGCAATACCGTTTGTATTGAAATATTCGTAACAATTTATAATTGATCTTATATAGAGGTAATACTACAAAGATCGCCGAGTGCTACACGGAATTGTACGAAAGTTTGTTACGGTTAGTTGTCACAAATTCTGTCTGCTGTGGGACAGAAGGTATATCTTTAGTGAGATGAATTTTACAAAAATAGTTTTTATCAAATTTGTTGATCTTGACGACGTAGCTTTACGTAATCGACTTTTCAGTGTTACAAAACATGTAACTTTGATGTGCCTTTAGGAATGATTTCTCTTTATTAAAAATCTAATATAATTATGTTAAAATTGATCGATATTTATAATTCATTACAGTAAGATAAATATATAACACGTAATATCCAACAATTGTTTTTTATTCCTTTTTGTGCTTATTCCTATAGTTGCCTTTAAGCTACTAAATTTCTAGCACGAAAGGAAAAACAAAGGGTTCACGATTATCTGTTTATATCTCTTTAATTAAATATTTGATTATGTTAATATACATTAGAAACTGACGATCGTGTATTTCGTGCATAAAGTTTTATTTGTAAATTGCAATGTGACTGCTTTCACTTAAAAGGATGCTATGCTTGAAAACCGACAAAATACTGACTTTTTTCTGCAAAGTTTAAAAAAAAGTTGTATTGCATAGAATTATATATTCTTCTGAAAATACATGCAATAATGAATTGGAACATTGCTCAATATGTGATGAAAAGATTTTTTAATCGACATCTCGAGTTGTCAGTTGACGTAAATATTTATTTGATGCAAAAGTTCTGCAGCTTGTATATTACACGTGTGTTACTGTTAACGAAAATTTCAAGGAAATTTCGGTATCTTTACAACTATATTTAGAAGCTCAAAAATATACGAAAATTTTACAGAAAGATTTATATACGTAATTATGTTTCTTGCTAATATATAGTGAAACAAAGCAGTATACATTTATATAAGATTTATATGTAGAGGAAATACGAAAAGAGAGAGGATACCCAGTAACCAAGGAACATTAAATTACCGTTTAGAAACGTTGACTTCATGTGCATTGTTTAGACATTTTTTAATAATATTGCATTTATATTTTTTACATGTTATTTTGCGATATGATTTTTCTGAATGTTGTTTAAACGTTTTAAAAACATTACAAAAAATATTTTTTCAAATGTTACTTTAACATTTATTTGAGATCAATACGACATCTTAAAAATATTTCTGACGATTAAAACGTTATGGCAACCCTATTTCAACATTATTGAAACTTTCAAACCGCGGTCAAAGTATGTTTATAATGATATTCGATACAATATTAAATATTACATATTTGACAATATTACAGGTTCTTGAATATTATTGTAATAACGTTATATTAATGATTTCTTGCTTACTAATAGGGTAATAATAGGTAGTAAAGAATAGTAATAGGTAGTTTCATGTTAGTGACAATTGCCTGTACGTTATTAACGTTTTCGTTTGTCAGCCACTTCACTATTTCCTTAAAAGAACGCATGAGACAGCATCAATAAAAACGAGTTAAACACACGCAAGGTTATGGTGGAAAGTTACTTAAATGAAACGAGTGTGTAATACCGATCGCGAGAATGTTAAATGTTGAAGGTCATATATATAAATGGATCGCGGCACATTCTACATATAAGCAAATAAGAACGATGAAAATTTCGGTTTTGCCTTGGATTCTTGTGAAAGTATACCAATTTAATATGTGAAAGAAACTTTGAGACATTGATCGCTCTATGATATAAGAGACACGATAAATTATTAATAGCACTTTTTTTTAAGGAGTTCTTGATCAAGTTCATTGTCGGAGTGTCGTAAGATAGATCTTTCGGGGAGCAAAGACAGGAGATTATGTATCAACGGTATTCAGTAGTTAAATGCAAGTTTTATTTTTTAGTTACAATTTCTGCACAAAGTTAATAAGTTATTTTTTTACATAATAATGAAACATACTTAATATAACTTTATATATATATATATATAAA